ACAATCACACTGTAACCTTACTACCACACCACTTGCTATAGATGGGGGATGACATTATGTGGGACCAGCAGTTGGCATAATGTCTACATTGCTGGACTTCCATGTAATCGACTGTGGTTCAAATCCTGGACTCAGTGGCTTAAATTCACGCTGGGCGCGTGTGCGTGCATGACCAAGATCCCGAGAGGAGAATGGAGAAGGGATTATGGTGTGGACATTCCCCCTGGGGGGGATTTCTCGCTTTCTATCTCTGTCTCTCTCTGTCTGTCTGTTGAGTGCACGCACCCTATAGAAAAAACCTCTCCAAAAAAAAAGAGAGAGAGAACGACATTATGTGTAAGATGCAACCACCTTGGTAATGAGATAAGAAAAGGCCAAGTAACTGAAGGGGTTCCACTCACAAGGCAACACTCGCAGCCCTACAGGGACGGCCTGTTGTGCATGTTGTGCACACAGTTATAGTCACCACAAGTTAAGGAGAAATATCCCTGTGTATGTGTGCATATATACACACACTGTGTTTCATCAGACTAGTGTGTGTGTTTATTCATCATATATATATGATAAATTCTAATGAAACCACAGAATATAGTATAGTATACAACAACAAATTGTACTCTTCTGCTCCATATAAAATGTTCACATTTTTTTCATTGATTTTATAAAAATGTAAATATGTTTGTTGGCTACCACAGGCTTGGGCTTGGGAAAAAGACTGACTATACATGAGTGCAAACTAATATAAATAAGCAATTGACCAATAAATAAGTACAAGAGACAAATCTCCCCAGCAGAAAAATCCCCAATAATCTATAGGATACTTACCCTTCAGGGAGATTGAGTTTAATTCCCTACCCCCTGAGTGTGAATTATGCAATGTGATTTAATTCCAATGCACAGAGTATAAAAACACTGGAAGGAATAACAACAGTGGAGAAACCTGGCAAACGTGATCTTGGCCAGGTGATCAAGGTAAGCATCAGCAGTAATAAGTCATGTTAATTGCACAGACTTTTGACACGGTAAGATCTCTCCAAAGGGTGCATCACCTTTCTGGTCTTCCTCCAAAACCTCACACCTCTGTGAAACAACGTGAAAACATCAGATAAACCTCACTTGAGAGACATTCTACAAAGTACTGGACCAGGACTCCTCAAAACTGTTAAGGTCATCAAAAACAGGTATGAGAAACTGTGAAAGCCAAGAGGAGCCTAAGGAGACAGAATGATTAAATGGAATGTGTTATACTGGGTAGGATGCTGAAAGAAGAAACAGACATGAGAGGAAGCCCGTGAAATCTGAATAGATTTCAACAAACAAACAAAAGTCATGACTTTCCTGGTGACCTAGTAGTAAATGCCACAATAATTTACTTAATTACTATGCATCAATGTTAGTTCCTTAATATGACAAATGTATCATGGTAATGTCAGATATCAAAAAGAGGGAAAACTGGTTGAGAGGTGTATGAGAACTCTTTACTACCTTCATAACTCTTCTGTAAATCTAAAGATACTGGAAAAGAAAAAGGCGATTTAAATATAAAAAAATAACATATTGCTATACTGACCATAGCAGAGTCCCTATGCACTAGTCAATACATCTCTTTCTTTTTCCACACACCTATCTGCCAAACTGTACCGGTATAAACAGTCATTTTCCTGAAATGTAAGAATTCTTCAGCTTTCAAGCCAATGTAGTATGAATGGAGTCAGACCTATTCTGAGAAATTTAGATTTCCCAATAATATTTAAATCATGCCCTCTGTAACAGGGCACAAAATGTCCATTTTTTTTTCAATTGATTTAAAAGACAGAACATCCTTCAACCACTATTTAAAACACTTAATTTCATTTGATTGCTATTAATAACACAATTAAAGAGACAGTGCAGTCGTCTCTCAAAGTAACTTTTTTTTTATTGAGGGCAGTGTTCATCTATTGACCAATTGTTATTATGGAAGGTAAAAGGGCAAGGTCTGACATATCACTGTTTTAGAACCTGGATGAGATTATTTTCCTGCTAGTCTTCACTTGTTCTTCAGAATGATAAGAAATGAAGTCTATGGGATTTAGAAGAAATTTTTTTCATACTGTTTTTCAATGTATTATTTTACTGTAAGAACAGGAAAAGAAGTGTTGGTAGTAATTACTGTTTACGTAAAAAGAGATTGTGGGTTTCTATAACTGTTAACAAGATTTGTGCCTCTGTTAGCATTTAATAGTATAATTTTAAAGTTCAACTAATCAAAATTTAATTAACCAGAATAATAAATTGGTCACAATTGCTTCTACTTCTGTTTTTAGGAAATAATGCAAATGTCCTTAAAGAAAGTCAGGGGGAAAAACGTAACTTTCTGAATATATTTTAGAGCTAAACATAAGATTCAGTAAAATCATCTGCACCTTCTATACCTACAGTACAACAGTTTTATTACGGAAAAGGATCATGATCTTGGATAATAAGGAGGGAAAAGTGTTCACTATGGAATTCTTAGCTAAGGCAAAAGAGTCAACTAAGGGATCTTAGTAATATTTTCAGTAGTGGGGACCAGCAGTTAGTGTAATGGCTATGTCGCTGGACTCCCACGTAGTCGACCGTGGTTCGCATCCTGGACCCGGTGGCTTAAACTCATGCCGTGTGCATGTGCGTGCGTGCCCAAGATCCCGAGAGGAGAATGGAGGAGAAGGGATTGCGGTGTGGCCATCCCCCCTGGGGGGTGATTTCTGGCTTTCTATCTCTCTGTCTCTGTCTGTCTGTCTGGCGAGCGCACGCGCCCTATAGCAAAAACCTCTCCAAAAAAAAGAAAAAAAAATTTCAGTAGTGAAGTATTTAATATAACCAAATATTCTGGGATGAAGGGATATTCGATTAATATAGGCAGCTATTGGGTCATCGGGAAAGTCATGACACATTTTTGCATAGAAAAATACATCATGACTTTCTCGACAACCTAATATTGCTCATATTACTCTGTAAGCAGTTCAGTTAACATTTGCATTTTGTCAGACTAGTGTGTGTGTGTGTGTGTGTTTAGTAATGAAAACTGTAATAGTTCCTTTCTCAGAACACCAATGACATGTCAGGCTTTAAGCTACCAGGCACCTAACATACACCACTTATAACGTTAAAACAACCCTGGATAACAGTAATTAGAACAGATTCAAATCCCCATAGATTTTAAGTGAAGAAACCATTACAAACTCCACACCAAAACCCTTCTCCACTACAGCATATATCTTCGTTTAATTATAATTATTAACACTATTAAACACTTATTTATCACTAACTAGGTGATTTAAATAATTTAACATTTATAAACCTCAATTCTCTTTTGGGTTAAATGGAATTGGCTGACTTACTTCTAATATTATTTTCAGTTTTAAAATAGTAACATCGATTTCTTATTTATTTATTTATTTAGAGAGGTTTTTGCTATAGAGCACGTGCACTCACCAGAAAGACAGAGAGACAGAGAGATAGAAAGTGATAAATGGATCTTGGGCATGCACACACATGTGCCCGGTGTGAGTTTAAGTCACTGGGTCCAGGACTAGAACTGCGGTCGACTACATAGCAGTCCAGCAACATAGCCATTATGCCAACTGCTGGTGCCAGTAACACTGATTTCTATACAGGATAACAAAATATAATGACCATCTTCACAATATTTTTGTTGAAAGTAGGTCACTAACATGGTCTTTATTAAATTTTGTGATGATGAGAATCTATGACCTAGAGATGTCCATGTCATTTCTCTCAAGTTCCTCTAGTTCTATTTAAGCAAGAACTAGTAATCTTAGCATTTTCAGTAAATAGTCCTTAAAATTTACATATAAGAAGAAATTGCACATTTTTTATTGCATTGAGCAAACTATATACTTAAATCTTTGCCTTCTAAAGAATCAACAACTCACATTCAGATACGAATAATGCGAAGAAAACCATTTTTCTGGATCTGAAAATAATTAAAATATTTATTTTAATTCACATTTATTTAAATATTACAATTTTCGTAGACAATGAAAGTACTTACACATATATAACATGGTAGACATAAATATCAATGAAATGTCCAAGTATTTTAGACCAAGTTTAACATATATATTAGATAAATTGACTATGCTTACATTTAGTTTTAAGAGTACATTAACATGGGTATTTAGAAAGGGTAAGTTTTCACAAAAACTGCTACAAAATGTTCACATTTGCATCAGTAATGTCATATTTCCTAGACTGATGTTTTAAGAAAATTGTGTAAAGATCTAATCTAATCATTAACCACATACGTTAATATTATTTGTAAATGAAGCATATTTCATCCATAGAAATATTCTTTCAACTTTTAAATAATATACCACTTTTATCATGACCATGTGACATTTATTAAACAAACATGCACAACACATTAACACTTGAATAATTCATGTACTTTTATGCAGTGTTTAGTTTTTCTACTTTTGTGAAAAAATATACATAAAATTTGGCACAGAATTAATGTACTTTTAGTAATCAAAGCAAATATTTAAAATTTCCATGGCATAGAAAATTTTTGTAACATAATTTACATCTCCCTTCATGTTACTGACCAATGACAGTTCTCCTCTGTTTTAGTTGGAATAAATAATAGATATTCAAGAACTAAAAGTCCTATCTAGGTGTTTCCTCTACACTCTAATAGGAAATGAGTTGATTTCAGTTTTTCTAGCAGTAAAACATTTCCATCTGTATTGTGGCCAACAAATTTCTAAATAAGGTTGTTATCAGCACTAATATGTATGATCGAGATGTTTTTCTGTAGGAGGCAGAGAGGTTGAACAGGAAATGTGAATCTCTTTATAAACTGAGAACATATGTGGTAAGGAGAGCTAATGCCAATTGAGGCAGAACCAGGGGAAGTTTTTTGGAGAGCTGGTCAGAGAGCACACTCCGAAGTAGCAAAAAGGTATAGAACAAAGGCGGAAACACAAGTATCATTCAAGGTAGAAAGGATTGCCACAGGTTTAAGAAAGTTGAAATGTGCTACTCCAGAAACAGCACCCAGAGACATGATGATGTCCTTGTATCTGGAAACCACCCTTGCTGGTTAAGAAAAGGTTTAAATTCCCACATCAAGATATTTGAGACTGAAGAAACTAAGGTAACTGGCGATTGGTTTTCCTAAACTCATTCAGAAACACTGTGGAAGAATGGGAATAAATAACATTTACTCAAGCTTCCGCCAAAACCAAATAGGATAATCTACACTCTAAGTTCAGACTTCAGCTTTGTGGTAACGAAGGAAAATGCCACAGTTCTTTTTCACAGTTCTTCTAAGATAAATTTGAGGTGTTGTATTTTGAGAGACTGGCTGAAAGAAGCTACTCCTTTCATAACACCCAGTGGCTTCATTTTTATATTTATTATGTGTCGGGGGAAAGGAACTAGAACTTAAAATTCTGTTTTCATACTAATGTATGTTATTTAAAGAAAAAAATAGCGTAATTAACAATGCCTTTTTTTTTTTTTTGCTTTATGATTCTTGCTTTGCTAAGGGCCTTTAAACAGTGAAATAGCAAAGAACATCAAACAGGTTAAATAAAATAGGTAAACTTTTTTTTAAAGCTATTAAGGTGCAAACAGACATAAAGATTACGAATCACAGAGCACTGAATTTTCAAGAGTGAAATCATACCAAAACCGTGACAAGTTTTCGCTGACATCGTAGGAGAGTAAGTGGTCGGGAAGGTCACTGATGGTGCCCTGCACTGCCAGCACGTGTGGGGCCAAGGTGAAGGGTACGTCGCTCAGGAGCTCGGCCATTAGAGAGCTGTTCTCCAGAGTCTGGCCTGCCTTATTTTCCACCTCAGGGCTTGTTACAGTCACATTGGATGAGTTTTCTGTGCCGGTCTAAAAATACATATATGTTTAAGACATTTAGACCGTGTGATCTTTCAGGTTTAGTCATGGTAAATGTAGCATTAATACATCAGAATGACTGCAAAATATGGAATATATAAATATGCCCAGATTTGCATGTGGCTATTTACTTGAGACATACATCCATTCAAATCTCTGCAAGGCTTTAAAATTCATCTGAAACTCTCCCCTCATGCAGATTGACCACCAACAGCCTCCTAAAATACAAACTGTTGATAGTAGTCCTGGTATTTCTCTAGCTCAGACAATGTCTACAGTCCATCTCTGCTCTTCCAAATCCTATGCATGCCTCTGAATTCCCAGCTTCTACATAAAATCTTCTATCACTGGATTCTAAAATCATCTTACCCACTTCAGAATGCTTATAGGACAAATTGCCTAGGTTACTGTATTCTTATGTATATCCTTCCTAGTTGTGATTCCGTATGTACTGGATCATCAGAAAAGTCATGATGGTATTTTTTGCACAGAAAAACAGAAAAATATGGCATGACTTTTCCGACAACCCAATATATCTTATGTCCAACTAGACACGAGTGTCTTTGAGGGGCGCCTATCTGAACTATCTTTGTATACCCCACCTTACATACTTTACTGCTTTAACATACACTTGAATAGTTATCTCTAATGTGTACCTTGAGTATGAATTAACTTCCTGACTTTCACTGGAATTAACATATTATTCCACAAAAGTAATATGGACAAAAAGAACTGATATAGCTTCTTCAATTTCTTGTAAAATTATCTCCTACAAACACTGGTGCACCAAAAGACATGTACTAGGATGTTCACAGCAACCTTCATCACAAGCTTCAAGCTGGAAATTACCTAATTATCTATCAATAGTAGAATGGAAAATAAATTGAAGTCTATTTAAAGCAATGAAAATGAACATTTGTCACTATGAACAGCTGGAATTTAACAGAAATCAGCTAGGGAAAAATTTTTTAAAAATGAATAAAACCCCACAAAACTCCCACACCTCAATCTCATGCAGAATAAACCTCACAATTATCCATAGAGGTCTATCAGCCCCTACACAATCTGGCCCTGGATATGCCTTTATTCCCAGCTAGTTGGCCAGTCACTCCCTCCTCTCCTGTCCCACTGTCTCCTTGGTGAACTAGGGCACAAGTGGCCTGCTTCTGCCTCAGACCCTTTGTTTCCTATTCCCTTTGCCCAGGAGGTTCTTATCCCAGACATACACAAGGCTCCTTCCCTCACTTTCTTCCAAGAGTTGGCCCACATAGCACCTAGGCAAGGCCTTTTCTAACCTCCTTTTTAAAAACTCTAGAGTCTCCTCTGCCTCCACTCCACACTCCCTGAATCCCTCTCCTGTTTTCTGTCTCTCCACAGCCTCTGGCTCCTTGTTAAAGGCTATATAATTTATTCTGATTTTAGTCCCTCAAAAGCTTAAGGACTACTTGTCTCCCATGCTCACTGTTGTATTCCAAATGCTTATATAGATTAGTGTCTCATACGCAATAATCATTTGTTGGCTAAGTCTTGTGGCCTAGTGGTAAAATGAGCCAGATCTCAAATGGCTGACTATGGTTTGAATCCTGGCTGTGGCAGCTTGAGAAACATACTGGACAAGTGTGTACATGTGCCCCGAATTCTGAAAGGATGGAGAAATGGAGGAAAAGGGATCGTGGCGTGACCATGCTCCGGTTAGGAATGCTTGGTCCCTCTCCTATCTGTCTCTGTGTCCCTTTCTCTCTCTCTCTGGCCAGTATACAAATCCTCTGGCAATGGAATGGAATGGCAAGGAAAGGAAAATAAATGTTTGTTGAGTGAATGAAAAAAGACGAGATTTTACCTGCATGGAGCTTATATGCTAAGGGTCATAAAGGCTGATAAATTATTTCACTCTAAATAAAGGAAAATGATTTTTTCATTGAAAAGACAGTTTTCTAGAGCTTTTTAATTCAACTATAAAATACATAGGCAAATGGGTACATCCTCAGAGGATAGCTTGCTAAATTTTCACAAACTGAACACACATGAGCAACCAGCACCCAGATCAAGAAACATAGAAGACCATGGGAACCAGCAGTTAGCGTAATGACTATGTCGCTGGACTCCCGCGTAGTCGACTGCGGTTCGCGTCCCGGACCCGGTGGCTTAAAACTCACGCTGGGCGCGTGTGCGTGCATGCCCAAGATCCCGAGAGGAGAATGGAGGAGAAGTGAGTGCGGCGTGACCATCCCCTCTGGGGGGTGATTTCTCGCTTTCTGTCTCTATGTCTGTCTCTGTCTGGCGAGCGCACGCACCCTATAGCAAAAACCTCTCCAAAAAAAAAGAAAAAGAAAAGAAACATAGAAGACCAGGCCCTGGAAACCCTCCTATTGTCCCTTTCCAATCCTGCCTGCTCCCCCATTTAGTTTCTAGTTTCTTTCAATCAACACCATGTGTTTAAGATTCATCCTTATTGTAAGTTGGATGAGCAAAATCTTTTTTTTGGAGTTTCTTCTTTTTTTTTTACTATAGGGCACATGTGCTTGCCAGAAAGATAAGAGAGACAGAGAGAAAGAAAGCAGGCAATCGCCCCCGCCCCCGGGGGGATGGCAATGGCACAATCCCTTTTCCTCCATTCTCATGTGCAGATCCTGGGCATTCACACACACACACCCAGCATGAGTTTAAGCCACTGGGTTTGGGACTCGAACCACGGTCAACTACACGGGAGTCCAGCAACATAACCATTACGCCAACCGCTGGTCCCAGCAAAATCTTAAAGAATATAGTTTTGCAGAGGAGATGTATTTCAACTGACATCTTTAAAAAAATATTTAATTTTATTTATTATTATTATTACTGTTTTAAATAATTATTTTTATATAAGTTTATTTATTTATTTATTTTTATTTGACCAGAAAGAGGCAGAATGTGAGAGAGACAGGTCTGGGACTCAAATTGTGGTAGGCCATGTGGGAGTCCACTGCCCTTAATCACCATGCCACCTGCCAGGCCCAATTTTTTAATTAGCTATAGGGCATGTGTGCTCACCAGTGGGAAAAGGAGGCAAAGTGGGAAAGCCAGCCATCAGGTCCAGGTATCAAACTGTAGTTGGCCATGTGGAAGTTCAGCACCTCAACCATTAGGTCCCCTGCTTGGTCTTCCGATTAACAGCTTAAAAAAAAAATCGCTCTGACTGCTGTGCTGACAGTGGACACTGGGGTTAGCAAAGCCAGTAAAGGAAGTAGAAAGACAGCTGGAAACAAAAGATGATTGTGATGTGATTCAGGAGGTAACAGAAAGTGAGATGAAATGTTTGAATTTGGATAGATGTTGAGGGTGAAACCAACAAGATTTGTTGAGAGAAAGGATGGTGGGGTATGAGAACAAGAAAGCACCATCAAGGATGAAGCCAAAGCTCTTGGCCTGGCAGTGAGAAGGAAGGAGTCACCGTTTACAGGGAGGGAAAAAAGTGTCAGGGAGCTGGCTTGGACAGGAAGAGCCAATTCTGTTTTGGCCGTTCGAAGTGCCTGTGCATCAGGTGCAGCTGTTCACAGGCAGAGACAGGGAGGTATGATTTGAGTTGAGAGCTGCACAAGATCAGGTGGAAAATGTGGAGACTTTTTTTTTTTTTTTTCCTAAGAGTTATGCTGTAAATGGAAATAGAGATACAGGCCATAAGTTGAAAAGGGATGTAGTCAAGAGGAGTTTCTTTTCACTTTTCTTTTTTTTCTTTTTAAGTTGGGAGAGATGATAGCAGCTTATAAGCTAATAAGAAAAAGCTCAAAGAAAGGAAATACCCATGAAGAATCTATAGAGAAGGAACTACCTTCTCTATACTCAACCTTAGAATAGAAGCCCTCAAGAAATATCATGGGGCCATTGGGAAAGCCATGATGCAGTTTTGCATAGAAAATCAGAACAATGTCATGACTTTCCCTAAGACCTAAAACTTTAGTGAATTACCTCAAATTAATAAAGTTACCTAACAAAAGTAGCCTTATAATTTCATGTTGAAGTTCCACGAGAGTATATCCTTAGGACTACAACCAAAACAAATAAAATCATCCTCTATTATGACTTAGCTTATAATAAAGCTATAATTACTATGACAAAGCTTATAATAAAGACCCATGTTTGCAAACTGGGATTGACAATCAACGCTAAGTACCTAGGGTCAGCAAAAAAGTGTAGATATCAGTGAGTGATGACACCATCATTCTAGCCTCTTTAAAGGGTTTCATTCAGAGCTGCTTTGCATAGAAAAATTGAAAAACAGGCAACATTTCGACACACAATAAACTTCATAAGTATATAGGTCCAGGCTTTGACTACCTTGACTAAAACAGCACACAGGCTACTTGGTTGTGAATTCCATGTCTCCTCTTTATTAACCAGCAAATAGCCTTGGGCAAGTATTTAAACTCTGTGCCTCAGTTTCCTTAGCTGTATTATGAGATCAGTAGTAGTACCTATTTCACAGGATTGTTATGAGGATTAATTGAAGTAATTTTTGTAAGTAAGCAGAGCAGTGCTCAGCACAGGTCCAAATAAATGAATAAATAAAAACTTTAGAAATGTCAGATCCCGCTTGACTGTTTTAAAAAATCTAGAATCCATTTATCGCTTTTGTTTTTCGCATTCTCTGGTTGTTCAAATAATCTAACATTTCCCTTTCCTTTTATTTCTCGCCTTTTCTCCAAATTTCACATAGAAATCTAATCTTCTAATCTAGTTCTGTCAGTCTCACCCCATACTCGAACATTCTTCTCTTTTCTGTTTGTGCACAGAATGTGCTCCGGCTTCATTAGCCGAAATCATCTTCTTTACTAAACAAAAGCATTTTTGGAATATCACCTTCTCCTCTACAAGAGGAAGTCTAGTACCAATATTACTTTGTTCTGTAAATATACAACTTCTAAGACTCAACTCTCCAGCAGCAATATTTGTGTCTTTGTTCATGCTTTCATAAACTGTGTTTCCTTTCCTTTGGAATCATTCTTATCTGACAG